ACACAATTGCAGGGTTTCAATTGTTTCTCTTACTATTGACAACACAACATACATATACAGTATTGTTTCTCACTTTTGATTTTTCATTTCATGTTTGTATTTATTATTAATATTATTATTATTATTATTATTATTATTATTATTAGTGTTATTATTATTATTATTATTATTATTATTATTATTATCACTTTTATTGTTTTATTTTTAATTTTGTATTTTTATTAAAAATTTTATTTACTGTGAATTATTATTTATTTTTATTTTTGTATTTTTTGTTATAAATTTTATTTACTATGATTTATTATTATTATTATTATTACATTTTTGCCCCCAGGCCCCAATGTGGGTCAGTGACCTGTGCCCGGGTGGACTAATCCTAGTAAAAAAAAACCTAGCCCCTCTCGCGCGTGATGACGCGATTCGAGTCATATTCAGGATGAGACTAACTTCACGGTGACGCAAATTGAGTCACCAAACTTTAAAACACTTGTCAAAAATTACGTTTTCAACAGAATTGCATCAAATTTTGATGCATCATAGCAGCAAGCAATTTCTATCAGATAAACTAATTGGCAACTCCCGAGGCCCATAGGAAGGAGAGAACGGAACGATAAATTCGTAGTATTATCTCAGCAGTCGGGCCGTGAGTGGGACCTGCGCCCATTTAAATTTCCATAACTCCATGCCGGCTGCCTCAACTCCTGGATTACAGTGCTTATCCTACTCCCTGAAATAATTTATTTTTAGTGTTAGAGAAGTGAATTGATGGCTGTGTAATGTAATATTTTTTTCATATTTACAGGGAAAGGGTTTAGTTTTCAAAAGCCGCTACATATCAGGCTATACAGCCTCGTTATAATAACAATGTATCGAAAACAGACTCTGAAGGAGGAGGATTTGCTAGACTTACTTGAAATTTATCAGTACCTTTCTCTTTATTATAGTGTTGGCTACAACATGCAATATAAGTTATGTCGATATTAAAAATAGGCACAAAAATAATAAAAATGAAGAGGAAAAAGATTTTACCATTTAAGAAACAGTTTTTTGCTATTTTCTCAAACAATGTTGATCATATCACAAATGTGATTACTGTGAAGGAAAGCTCATAAAATTCTGTTTCTAGAAGTATGTAATACTTAATCATTTGGCTCAAACACTTTTGAGCTAGGAGGTTGTGAACGTATTGGTGTGTATTTTTCCTCATGTTTATTACAAATGACGAAAAATAGTTATATACTTGTAGGGTTTCATGATATTATGTTGTCTAGCACTCAGGATGGATGGGTGGAAACTCTAGGTGGTGGTTTTCTTATATGAAATATATTATATACAAGACAGTCTGGTGCTGGAGATGCCGTGTGGTGAGAAGCTTGCTCAAGAGACACGTTCAGTAAGTAGCGTGCTTGAGGAGGTATCTGTGCAGGAGCTTCATTAGAGGAGATGTTGCGTGTTCAGGAACGTAGGGTAGAATCAATCTCAATGGAGAGACTGAGAGCTTATATACACAGCAGCCGGAAGTAAACCCGTGGGAACTCGCCGGTTGCTTGACTCCGTTGCTAGGGTAGACGTAGCAGGTGGCGACCCCCCCCCCCCAGCAGCTCGCTGGTTGCTAGGATACTGTCGCATTGGAATGCGGATACGCAGTTGTAGGGGAGAGATCCACTACATACGTGTATCATTCTTTTTTTGCCATATGTTGCAGAGCAATCAGTTACAAAGCCAAAGGTGTATGGTTTATGCCAATTAAAACATTCCTTCTGGCAAATATATCATCGGGACCTGGTGACTTATTAGGCTTTAGTTTGTCTATTTGTTTACTAACATCGTTATTAGTTACTCTATCAATCACTCAATCTTTTTTTCTTTTCACTATCTCTGTACATAGTCGGTGCCTCGGGTATCATGTTTAAATTCTCGGAAAATTGTTGAAAAATATTTGTTCAGATTACACTGGGCAACAAAGATTTTGCTACTGCTGTAAAAACATATATTTTAGACTAAATCATGTATGCTGATTCTGAATCTAAACTCAGAATTTTCCCAGCACGTCAGGATTTTAAGTTATACATTTGATCAAATTACACTGGGCTGCCTAGCACCAACCCAGCATAATTGGATAAATAACTTGATATTAAAGGTTTTAAAATAAATGTAATGTATACCTTTTAAGAGTTCATCTAGTTTGGAATTTATTTCATGCTAATAATATTTATACCTTTTCATGGTATAACCTTATATTTTTTCTGTATATTTTCAGGTTAGGCCTACATTACAACAGACATCATGATTAGGCGAGGCTGTGTGAATCGCCCTGATAACTTTTGCTATATGTGTGGAAAATACACTCCACGTGACCAATGCAAGAACCTTGCCAACAGAGTGAAAACTGTTAACGAATATTATTTTGGATGTAAAGTTGGAGACCAAGACAAGAGCTGGGCACCTCATGTTTGCTGGACCATGTGTAATTCGGGACTTACGTAGTGGTTGAGTGGCAAAAGGAAGGGAATGCCTTTTGCTGTGCCAATGGTATGGCGTGAGCCAACGAATCTTCACTCTGACTGCTACTTTTATGACAAATATTGCTGATTTATCAAAGAAAAACAAGTCAAAAATTGTATAGCCAGAATGTAACTCTGCTCTGAAGCCGGTCCCCCATGACTTGGATTCGCCTGTGCCAGTTCCCCCAGCAGCTGCTGAAGTTGAAAGCGATGACAACTCTGATGATGAGGAGTGCGATGATGCTGATAGGGATCAACTCTATGAACCCGAATCTGAGGAAAAGAAGCCACACTTGCTAAATGAAGAAGAGTTGAACGATCTGGCGAGAAACTTGTCATTGTCAAAGGAGAAGGCAGAAGTGTTGGGTTTCAAACTACAGCAATGGAACCTCCTACAGGAAGGTACCCATATTTCCCTCTTCCGTGATCGCCACACAAACTTAGCTGCCTTTTTTAACATAGAAAATGATGTTTGTTTCTGTACTGATGTTAATGGCCTCATGCATGAGCTACGAAACAAACATGTGCCTCATGAATGGAGACTCTTCACAGACTCCAGCAAAGTGCGTCTCAAAGCTGTGTTGTTACACAGCACGGTTGACCAGTTCTTCTGCCGGTTTGGTGTGGCCCACGAGTTGCACACGGACCGGGGCAGAAACTTTGAGTCAGCTGTGTTGAGTGAGTGCTGTAAATTGTTGGGCATAAGGAAGACTAGGACCACTCCACTTCGGCCACAGTCAGACGGAATGGTAGAACAGTTTAATTGGACCTTGGGACAAGAACTGACCAAGTATTGTGTTGAGGGACAAACAGAATGGGACCAGAAGCTGCCTGCTCTGCTGATGGCGTATCGGTCGGCTGTCCACAAGTCAACTGGATACACACAGGCAAAATTGACTTTGGGTCACGAACTGTGGCTGCCAGTGGACCTGCTGACAGGAAGACCACCTCATTAGGAACTTCCTGAAGAAACCACCAGTTACGTCAAAAGCCTCCAAGAAAGGTTGGTGGGGGTTCACCATCAAGTTCGAAGAACTCTGGAGTTCTCGGGTGAAGTGATGAAGCGCACCATGATGTCAGGGCAAGCCAGGTCTGTTACAAGGACGATGATAAGGTTTAGCTGTATATTCCTTTGCCGAGTCCATGGGAATGACCATACACTTAGTGGAATACCTTTTATATGTGAACTACAGAATCAGGGGAGGAAGGAAGGCTCAGCCGAGGGTAGTCCACGTCAGTCGTCTGTGGCAGTATCATGGGTCAGGGCAGTACACCTGGGAAGTCTCTGAGGAGCAATCACCTACCACCGACAAGGACCAGACCGGAGATCCTGGAAGAACTCAGGGCCATACCGATCCAGGGAACCCAACCATGGACCAGGAAGAGGAGCACTGTTCCCTCTTAGCGGAATTGGACGTGACAGGAGAAGGGAACCAATCTGAGGATGTGACTGAGGTTGCTGCGCCAAGAGAGGACTTTGAAGACAATCCCAGTACGTAGGCGGCAGCAGCGGGAGAGGAGGAGACCTCCCAAGTTTCAAAATTTTGTATATACTGAATAGCTGTATCGGAACGACACAAGAATTTGGGAGGGAGTAGTGTTAATCTGAAGCGTAATTTAGTATTATAAATTTTGTGAACTAAATGTTCTGATTATTTTCTATTCCAAGCAGCAGTAATTTTGGCAAATTGGGGAGATTTTCTTGTATATATTGATGTATTTCCCATACAAGAATTTTCTAGAATGTATTGCATCATTTTTTTCATGATTTACTAACGTATTGTAAGCCTGGATCATTTTATAATTCTCCAGGCGTATCTCGTTCCGACCTGCAATGCCTGAATGGCACTAGAATGCTCTAAGCGTCTGACATACGGTGACAAGCCGTATATAAACACCCACGAGCTGCCTAGGGAGTCAATACTCAGTCACCTGTTTCTGCTTAGTGTGAAGTACAAGCATTGTGACAGCTAAAGATAATTGGTGTTCAAGTATTATGGAATTGTTGTGAGCCATATAAAGTGAAAAGACTAAGGAATTGTACACTGGTAGTGTGCTGACTGTATATATAGTGGTAGAAACTTACCCTGTGAACAGTTTTGTGAAGACTTAGTGATTATTAAAGACGACTACAGTTCACAGGAGCCCTTCTGTGACCTGGTGGAAATCTACCTGCCTGTTGCTTAATCTGTACACTGATACCGATCGTCGGAAAATTACCGGAGACTGCTGGGACAGCCAGTGGTAATTCGACGACACCTGTATCTACTGCTTCTGTATGTACGACTTGCTGGCAACCAGCAATGGAAGCTTGTAATCGGTGAAAGGGGTTCGCAACATAACATTGACCACTTGGGTGTACGAAGAAGTCAGACACACTTGAGCCAAGAGTTCTAATTTTTCGATAGAATCATGAATAAAACGAGTGGCGGTCAATCTAGGGACTAATATAGTTCGATGGTCTCATGATTTTTAATGCGAGTCCTTCACCTGCAGGAGTGGACACAATGTCAGCCACCATCAGAGTGAGTAAAGATTCGTCGTGGCAGAGTTCACTAAGCAGCCCAGATCAACGCCTCGCCTTACTCCTGCAGTCCTCTCGCTTGTCTGATCTCACCATCACCTTCCCGGGTCACGACAACATCCTTAAGGTAACATCACATAACAGAGTCTAGGACTACTTTTAGTGTCCTGGTAGCCCAGAAGTAACGTTCCCCGGTCACAATCATAAGATCGTGGGTTCGAATCCTGGCGGGGTGAGGTGTTGATTTTATATATATATATATATATATATATATATATATATATATATATATATATATATATATATATATATATATATATATATATATATATATATATATATATATATACCATATAATAATAGAATAAAATGACCAGTATCTGGATAAGAGTTGAACATATAACTCGAATATTGATTAGCATTTCGAGGCATTTCATATATTTTTCATAATTTCCATGCACACTTTATCGATGATGTATTTCACTGTAATATTAAACTAGTGCAGGATTCATAGTACTAAAGGTTAATACTCTTTTTATATCAGCACATCTGGTTGCCTTGTGGGGTACGAGATATTGGTTCACACTCAGGATGGGATGGAGAAAGGAAACTCACAATGTGCTCTCTGTATACATGTTGTATTGGATGTACAATGCACCTTGGTGCTGGGAAGTGGCAGCGTGGTTACAAGCGTGTGTAGAGAGAGCTGGTTGGTGAGGGTGCTCAGAGGGGGACCAGCTTGTGGGTCGCCATGCTTGCCGGCGGGAGCGAGGGCCGCCCGGCAGGAGTGGAGGAGGAGGTGTTGCTTGTTGCGGCTGTAGCTAGAAGAAGGGGTAGGTCACCACGAGGTCAGGTCTTATATAGCGGAGGTAGGCGTGGCTTAATAGTTGACCTCCGTCATGTAAGGCGGCGCTGGTTGACCTAGACCACGAGGCATACACTGGGGAGTTCGCAGGGTCGGCTACTCAGTGACAAGTGTTTGTAGGGAGGAATCCACTACACCCTGACTACAGCATTTACTCTCTTTTATGCCGTCACATACAAATAACTATGCAGGGTGAGCATAAAGTCTTTCCCTGATTACAAAAATTTATTACACAAAACATACGCTAGGTACAAACATAGTTTTTTTCAGCTTAAAATATGCATGAAAAAAATCTATTAATTCGTCTACACAATGCTACAACATTCATGTTTCTATCTAGATTCTATCTAGATCATATCTCGAAAACCATTCTAGATTCTAGAATGGTCTTCGAGATATGATTTTTCATAATCAGGGAAAGACTTTATGCTCATCCTGTACATTTGACCCGCTTTACTTTTACTGGGATTGTATCGCAAGTGTCACATATACTAAAATTAGTTTACTGTTAAGGCTATTTCATATTACTTTTCCATTCATATGTATTAGTAAACAATGTATAGAGGTTTTCTACGGTCATGTTCTATTATTATTATTATTATTATTATTATTATTGGCAGAGTTATTGAATTAGTGGCATATTAATACTCATTATCTCTTCCTTCATTCCACTTTCCCATCTTTTGTGCACATCCCACTGGTCTCCCTCCAGCCAGCCATCCAATCAACCTCCTCCTTCACTTTTCAAGTTACAAGAGATTCTCATATTCCTGAATTTTTTCATTTATCTTTTGTAATTTTTCCAAGTTTCTGAACCGTGTGTTAAGAAGTGAGAAGGACACTTTTGTTGTCATTGTCCACGTTTCTGATCCATATTGTGGCTGCTCACAGGTCACTGGGACACAAGTGAGAACTTGTGAACCATGGGGTGCGGATCAGCCAGCTCCCATTGACAGGTTTTACCTGTAAGCCTTGGTTGCCAGTCTTCCTCCCCCTCCCCTTGAGTAGTTGACCTTGACCAGTTTGTCATACACCTCATTCCGAGACAAGACCTCAGCCATGAAGTCGTGTGGGAGAAAGTGAAGGTTGTGAGGATATATCCTCCACTTTCAACGCCTCATGAGAAGCTGAACCCCGAAGAAGTTTTTACTTCTCCAGGTATACTGTAGATGGGGTTACGATGGTCGCCCGCCGGCCTTGTGGTAGCCTTCGGCGGCTGGGGGCAGACCGAACAACGGAGCCAAATTGAAACCATCATTGACGTCCTCGCTGAAGTTCAGTTAAACTTTGTCAACAACGCTGCGTGGGGAGTTATTTCCCACGCCGAAATACAATATAACGACAAGGACGATGTAAAAGAAAGTCGTGAAACGAAAAATCAAGAAAGAAGACGGAGAATCCACCTCAGCTCTGGTGGGATTCTTTCACAAGTTGCCAGAGACGATTATACTTGGGCTGGGACACCGTCCCAGTGAAGCCGTACATACCAAGATCGACCGACCAGGTGCTACAAGTCAGCGCTACGGCCACGCAGCGAAGTGCCGGCCTCGGGAGGTCTGCGCCACTTGCAAGATCCTGGTACCGGCACACCACGTGTCCAGCAAACAAGAAAAATATGCAACTTGTGGAGGCCCTCATTCCTCCTCCTACCGGGAGTGTCCCAAATGGAGGGAGGAGAGTAGGGTAGCCAAGGTGCGATCCAAGAAAAAAATGAGTTACAAGGACTCTCCTTGTAGCTAAGAAATAAGAAAATAAGAAACAAAAGAACGAAAACATGAACAAGAACAAGAAAAGAAAACCGAAGAACAGAAGAACAACTAGAAGAAGAAATGGATAACATCACGGACAAGACAAAGACGAACAAGATATTTGTGAGCAAGATCAAGAAAGGTGGAGCCTCCAAAAAAGAACAAAACACAAAGATCAAACTAACAAGTCTACGGCCGTAATGACCCAAGCTGTCGACGGCCAAGAAAACAATCCAGCCAACCAACCAGTTTGTCATTAAGTTACACTTCCTCCAGTTCGTGGTCTCTATCTGGGTCAATTTTGGATCAGTATGTGTTGTACTTTACTGTGCATCATTCTCACCTTGGTAAGTTCTTGCATTGTAGTGTGAAATTTGTAAATTTCATGATTTTATTCCAAAATTCTTGAATTCTATGTTAATAAAAACATATAATTTGATAACTGCATTTTTTATATAATTTGTTTGATTTAATATCAGAAAAATAATTAACATTTATTATTTTGTCCCAAATCATTATTGCTATCTACACACCCCAACACCGAGATCCTCTACCTAGGGGATTTCAATGTACATCACAGAGAATGGCTTGGCTCTGCAAGGGTTGACTTAGGTGGAGCTGAGGCACTCTCTTTTTCCCTACTTAATGATTTGGAACAAATAATCAAACACCCTACACGCGTTCCTGATCGACACGATCAACTTGCTAACATTCTTAATCTTTGTTTTACCTCTAACCCCTCACACTATTCATACTCAATTTCTGCCCCCTTAGGGTCTTCTGATCACAATCTTATTTCTATTAAATCAAACTGGGCACGACCACCTCCCCCACCCCCTCTAAACGTCAACTATGGCACTATCGGAGGGCAGTTGGCAATCCTTGCGAGAATTCTTCACCGACTTTCCTTGGGATGAATGTTGCTTTTCCACTCGGGACGCCTCGGTATGTGCTGACAGCATTGCTGGGGTTATACAGGGCGGTATGAGTGCATTTATCCCACCAAAATTTCACATTACAATCATGGTTTAATCGCTCCTGCTCTCTTGCTTGCAGGGTGAGAGATAGGGCATATCGAGCTATGAAACTATCTCTTTCTCCTATTACCCACACCTCTTTCACTACTTCTAGACATCGTTTTAAGGCTATTCTTCGTAGGGCCAAGCAGAATTTTATTAAAAGAAAGACCGCTGTCCTGACTAATTCTTCCTCTAGTAAATCCTTTTGGTCCTTAACTAAAAACATATGTAACAACTTCTGCACTCCTTCTTTTCCTCCTCTCTTTCGACCCGATAACTCTATAGCCAACTCTCCCCCTGACAAAGCCAACCTCTTTGGCACCTTATTCTCCTCTAATTCCACCTTAGACGATTCCCACTCTATCCCTCCTACCCCTGCACCTCCTATGCACTTTCCTATAATCTCCACTCGCAGGGCTGCCGGTGTGTTATCCAGGTTGGATGTGATTAAGGCGCATGGACCGGACGGAATACCCCCTCGTGTTCTGAGGGAGTGTGCTGAAGCCCTGGCCTCTGTGCTTGCTCGCCTCCGCCTCAAAACCCAAACTTTTCCTTCTTCTTGGAAGCATGCCTTGGTTCAGCTCATCCCGAAGAAGGGTTGTATCGGGCCGATTCTTTCTCTTTATAATTTACTCTCCAGATATTCTTTTCTGTTATTATTCTTCAAGTCTTTATTTATAAATGTATTTTATACTCTTGCTTATATTCTTATATAAGTACTGTAATTCTTTCCTTAGTTATGTATGTTCTTTAGATTAAACCTTCATGGTGTAGTTATTTAATAATTTCTAGGCTGTGTCTTTAGTTCCACAATTTACATACCGGTCTTATCTGTCTTTTCTTATACTTTCCAAGTCTTTCATTTCTTTTCATATACTGTATATTATATTTTCTAAATTTATATGTCCTTACCTTTCTGAAGTAGTTACTGTTTTACTTATACAGATTCTCATACATGGGTTAGTCTGGGAAACCATGTAATTCTTAGTACAACACTTATTATAATTACAAGGGTAACTGCCACCACCCAGCTTTTCAGTATATAACATAACTCATGGAAAGTTTTTGGGTAGTGTGGTAGATGTATAGGCACGTGAGTAAGTATTATTTTCTGGGAACCAATGTTTAGAAGGAGTAGAGTGGTGATACTCGTAGATTACTAATTCAATATTTATTAACACAGTGAGTGGATAAGATGCATCTTAAATTCACTCAGTCAAAACAGAACCGCAATTACTTATTAAGTCATCAAACACTTCAAGAACTTATTACCTCCTTAAACGCCTCCAAGTATTTATTACTTCATTAGACAATTGTTGTATTATTCCTCTGACAAGTAAGATTCAGGAGTTACTACACACGGTCAGATAACACTGGACCCTGAGGTCGTACTTTTATAAGTAACATATTACTGCTTCAATACTTGGTGATAACATTATACACTCAGGTTATCATTTCAAGGTTACTACCGATAAATACATAACGCCCTGGACAA